GCCTGGTCCATCTAGGGTTAACCCTTCTTTCTATAAACATAGCAGTTTCAGAGAAACTGCTATGTTTATGTTAGGGTTAATCCAGCCTCTAGTGGCTGTCTCATTGACAGCCGCTAGAGGGCTTCCGCGTTTCTCACTGTGAAAATCAGTGAGAAGATGCCAGCGTCCATAGGAAAGTATTGTGAATGCTTTCCTATGGACTGGCTGATTGCGCGCGCGGCTCCTGCTGCGCATGCACATTCAGCCGAAGAGGAGGAGGAGAGCTCCCCGCCCGGCGCTGGAGAAAGAGGTACGTTTAACCCCTTCCTCTCCATCCAGCCCAGCGGGAGGGGGACCCTGAGGGTAGGGGCACCCTCAGGGCAATATAGTGCCAGGAAAACAAGTATGTTTTCCTGGCACTATAGTGGTCCTTTAAGTTTTGGGTTTTTTCAGGGGGCTGGGGAGGGGGTTACTTTATCCAAAACTATTTTATGATAATGCTGGTTTTTGGAGTAACCCTTTAATGCCAAGGGTTAAGGGACACTATAGAAACCTTAGTTTAATGAAGCAGTTTTGGTGTATAGATTATGCCCTGCAGTCTCACTACTCAATTATCTGCCATTTAGGAGTTAAAGCACTTTGTTTATGCAGGTCTAGCCACACCTCCATGCATGTGACTTACACAGGCTTTCTAAATACTTCCTGTAAAGAGATCTAATGTTTAAATTGTATTGCATAATTCTGTTTAATTTAGAATTTCTTTAACTCCTAAATGGCAGAGAATTGAGCAGTGAAATAGAACACTTTTTTGAAAAATGTAAATACATATTAGTTTAAGTTTTGAGAAAGTATATTGCTTGAATAAAAAACAAATAACAGAGAAATTGTATATGCAGATTTATGTAAAGATTAAATTAATTTGATGAGCGCATCTGACCCTATTTAACACCTGATACAGCAAAGGTGCTTGTCCATGCTGCTGTCCTCTCACGCCTTGACTACTGTTATCCACTTCTCAGTGGTCTTACGTGTTCCCAACTTGCCTCGTTACAGTCTATAATGAATGCGGCTGCATCTCCCATGCCTCCCCCCTTTGTCAGACCCTCCATTGGCTTCCTGTAAGATATAGGGCTCAATTTTAGATCCTGAGACTTGCTTCCAAATTTCTACACAATGCTGCTCCGATCTAATTAGCCTCACTAATACACAAACTTGTTCCCTATATCCATCCACAGCTCCAACACCCTGTAACAAGTCAGCCCGACCCCATAACCCCCAACATTTCGCACAGAGAGGTTTTAGGTGAGTTGCTAATAAGAATGTAATTACAGGACCCACCATTGTGACATGCTAAAAGAACTAAGCTGGCTGTCGCTGATAGCCAGACGCACCTTTCATCTTTCCAGCCTTGTGTTTAAGAGCTTTTCTGGGAAGCTCCCACCCTACCTGAGCAGAATGTTCTCCTCGGCTGTTCCCACTTCCTATAACCTCCGATCCAGTACCAACACTTTATTTAGTCTACCTCAATACAAAAAGAAAGCGAGTCGATCCTCCTCCTACACAGCGCCGCAATTGTGGAACAACCTCCTGCACACTTTCAAATCTTCCCCAAGCCTAAAGTCCTTTAAGAGATCCCTCTCTACATACCTCAAAACAGAATGCACCTGTCATGGGTGATTATATATTTCCTACCTGTTCTATGTTACATTTTGTATTTATTGTGTATTAATATTGTTTTTGTATTTTATTGTACCCTAATGTAACAATGCAATGATTTGTGGACCCAGGACATACTTGAAAACGAGAGAAATCTCAATGTATCTTTCCTGGTAAAATATTTTATAAATAAATCATTTATTACAAGAACAATGTATCTTATTAGTCAGACTGATTTTTAAACACATTTATTGTAGTTTAAAGACACATTAACAGGAGTATTATTACTGTGGAGCTCTGTTATACACTCAGACACATTACTGCGAGTATTATTGCTGTGGAGCTCTGTTATACACTCAGACACATTACTGGGAGTATTATTACTGTGGAGCTCTGTTATACACTCAGACACATTACTGGGAGTATTATTGCTGTGGAGCTCTGTTATACACTCAGACACATTACTGGGAGTATTGTTACTGTGGAGCTCTGTTATACACTCAGACACATTACTGGGAGTATTATTACTGTGGAGCTCTGTTATACACTCAGACCCATTACTGGGAATATTATTGCTGTAGAGCTCTGTTATACACTCAGACACGTTACTGGGAGTATTATTGCTACTGAGCTCTGTTATACACTCAGACACATTACTGGGAGTATTATTTCTGTGGAGCTCTGTTATACACTCGGACACATTACTGGGAGTATTATTGCTGTGGAGCTCTGTTATACACAGACACATTACTGGGAGTATTATTTCTGTGGAGCTCTGTTATACACTCAGACACATCACTGAGAATATTATTGCTGTGGAGCTCTGTTATACACTCAGACACATTACTGGGAGTATTATTGCTGTGGAGCTCTGTTATACACTCAGACACATTACTGAGAGTATTATTGCTGTAGAGCTCTGTTATACACTCAGACACATTACTGGGAGTATTATTTCTGTGGAGCTCTTTTATACACTCAGACCCATTACTGGGAGTATTATTGCTGTGGAGCTCTGTTATACACTCAGACATATCAGTGGGAGTATTATTGCCTAAAAGGACAATTACACTCAGACAAACAAACAATATGGAGCTCATAGAAAAGAGGGACATTAGGAGAGAGAAGAGAGGAATTTGGGGACAAAATAGGGACTGTCCCTCCTAAATACAGCCACTTGGGAGGGTTGGATCCCCGGGGGAGACTCCACCACTCAGCCGTAACGCATAAAAGGTGGGGATCAGCAGCATTCTGGGAAAGATTAGAGTTCTGGGAAAAATAAAGTTCTGTGACAGACCATAGAGTTTTGAGAAGGACCTCTTGTGATACCTTTTTATTGGACTAACAGAATTTCTATTCCAAAATTCTGTTAAGCAAATAAAAAGGCTTCACAGGATACTCTTTTCCTCTGCTATTTTAAAAAATATATATATACTACTCTCTAAGGTTGTGCGTTTGGGCACTTTCTGAATCCCCTGGCAGGATATATTGACCACTTTTAAATTATATTAGAGCACAATATATCCATTAATTTTAGACAATGTCTCTCAGTTTTGTTACAAAGTGCAGTTTGACGGCTATTGTATTCTTTTCCGCAATGCACAATGGAATTCACCATCTTAACTAATCAGAGGGTCAGAGAGATGTCGCAGTGTATAACCCTCTCACACAAGAACCGGAGAATGCATCAATTTACCGCACAGTGATTCATTGACATAGACAGAATACCCAAAGAATAAAACAATAAAACACATTAGTTCAAACATCGAGTAAACTGACAAATAATATCAGGTAGACACGGAAACATTGAGATGATTGTTTAATGCTGGAACTGTAGAAAGGTTAAGGAAACAGTTAATGTAACTCTTCCTCGTTCCTATTCCTCTCCATGTACAGCAGCTGTGAATGCTCTGGGCTCAGGTGGATAAATGTTGGAGAATCTCTCTTCATCTTCTCCTTTACTATATCGCAGAATGAAGCGGAGCCACAGTCATCTCCAGACTAAACCCCTCAATAACTGCTTCACTGAACTCCTCAATAACAGCTTCACTGAACCCCTCAATAACTGCTTCAAATTCCGTAGCGCTGTACAATGGGTGGACTAACAGACACGTAACTGTAACCAGACAACTGAACGTACAGTAACAGAGGGATTGAGGGCCCTGCTCAGTGAGTTTACATGTTAGAGGGAGTGGGGTATAGCGACACAGTAACAGAGGGATTGAGGGCCTGCTCAGTGAGCTTACATGCTAGAGGGAGTGGGGTATAGTGACACAGTAACAGAGGGATTGAGGGCCCTGCTCAGTGAGGTTACATGTTAGGGGGAGTGGGGTATAGTGACACAGTAACAGAGGGATTGAGGGTCCTGCTCAGTGAGTTTACATGTTAGAGGGAGTGGGGTATAGTGACACAGTAACAGAGGGATTGAGGCCCTGCTCAGTGAGTTTACATTCTAGAGGGAGTGGGGTATAGTGACAGTAACAGGGATTGAGGTCCTGCTCAGTGAGTTTACATGTTAGAGGGAGTGGGGTATAGTGACACAGTAACAGAGGGATTGAGGGCCTGCTCAGTGAGTTTACATGTTAGAGGGAGTGGGGTATAGTGACACAGTAACAGAGGGATTGAGGGCCTGCCCAGTGAGTTTACATGTTAGAGGGGGTGGGGTATAGTGACACAGTAACAGAGGGATTGAGGGCCCTGCTCAGTGAGTTTACATGTTAGAGGGAGTGGGGTACAGTGACACAGTAACAGAGGGATTGAGGGCCCTGCTCAGTGAGTTTACATGTTAGAGGGAGTGGGGTATAGTGACACAGTAACAGAGGGATTGAGGCCCTGCTCAGTGAGATTACATGTTAGAGGGAGTGGGGTATAGTGACACAGTAACAGAGGGACTGAGGCCCTGCTCAGTGAGTTTACATGTTAGAGGGAGTGGGGTATAGTGACACAGTAACAGAGGGATTGAGAGCCCTGCTCAGTGAGTTTACATGTTAGAGGGAGTGGGGTATAGTGACACAGTAACAGAGGGATTGAGGGCCCTGCTCAGTGAATTTACATGTTAGAGGGAGTGGGGTGTAGTGACACAGTAACAGAGGGATTGAGTGCCCTGCTCAGTGAGTTTACATGTTAGAGGGAGTGGGGTATAGTGACACAGTAACAGAGGGATTGAGGGCCCTGCTCAGTGAGGTTACATGCTAGAGGGAGCGGGGTATAGTGACACAGTAACAGAGGGATTGAGGGCCTGCTCAGTGAATTTACATGTTAGAGGGAGTGGGGTATAGACACAGTAACAGAGGGATTGAGGGCCCTGCTCAGTGAGTTTACATGTTAGAGGAGTGGGGTATAGTGACACAGTAACAGAGGGATTGAGGGCCTGCTCAGTGAGTTTACATGTTAGAGGGAGTGGGGTATAGTGACACAGTAACAGAGGGATTGAGGGCCCTGCTCAGTGAGTTTACATGTTAGAGGGAGTGGGGTATAGTGACACAGTAACAGAGGGATTGTGGGCCCTGCTCAGTGAGTTTACATGTTAGAGGGAGTGGGGTATAGTGACACAGTAACAGAGGGATTGAGGGCCCTGCTCAGTGAGTTTACATGTTAGAGGGAGTGGGGTATAGTGACACAGTAACAGAGGGATGAGGGCCTGCTCAGTGAGTTTACATGTTAGAGGGAGTGGGGTATAGTGACACAGTAACAGAGGGATTGAGGGCCCTGCTCAGTGAGTTTACATGTTAGAGGGAGTGGGGTATAGTGACACAGTAACAGAGGGATTGTGGGCCCTGCTCAGTGAGTTTACATGTTAGAGGGAGTGGGGTATAGTGACACAGTAACAGAGGGATTGAGGACCTGCTCAGTGAGTTTACATGTTAGAGGGAGTGGGGTATAGTGACACAGTAACAGAGGGATTGAGGGCCCTGCTCAGTGAGTTTACATGTTAGAGGGAGTGGGGTATACAGGGAGTGCAGAATTATTAGGCAAATGAGTATTTTGACCACATCATCCTCTTTATGCATGTTGTCTTACTCCAAGCTGTATAGGCTCGAAAGCCTACTACCAATTAAGCATATTAGGTGATGTGCATCTCTGTAATGAGAAGGGGTGTGGTCTAATGACATCAACACCCTATATCAGGTGTGCATAATTATTAGGCAACTTCCTTTCCTTTGGCAAAATGGGTCAAAAGAAGGACTTGACAGGCTCAGAAAAGTCAAAAATAGTGAGATATCTTGCAGAGGGATGCAGCACTCTTAAAATTGCAAAGCTTCTGAAGCGTGATCATCGAACAATCAAGCGTTTCATTCAAAATAGTCAACAGGGTCGCAAGAAGCGTGTGGAAAAACCAAGGCGCAAAATAACTGCCCATGAACTGAGAAAAGTCAAGCGTGCAGCTGCCACGATGCCACTTGCCACCAGTTTGGCCATATTTCAGAGCTGCAACATCACTGGAGTGCCCAAAAGCACAAGGTGTGCAATACTCAGAGACATGGCCAAGGTAAGAAAGGCTGAAAGACGACCACCACTGAACAAGACACACAAGCTGAAACGTCAAGACTGGGCCAAGAAATATCTCAAGACTGATTTTTCTAAGGTTTTATGGACTGATGAAATGAGAGTGAGTCTTGATGGGCCAGATGGATGGGCCCGTGGCTGGATTGGTAAAGGGCAGAGAGCTCCAGTCCGACTCAGACGCCAGCAAGGTGGAGGTGGAGTACTGGTTTGGGCTGGTATCATCAAAGATGAGCTTGTGGGGCCTTTTCGGGTTGAGGATGGAGTCAAGCTCAACTCCCAGTCCTACTGCCAGTTCCTGGAAGACACCTTCTTCAAGCAGTGGTACAGGAAGAAGTCTGCATCCTTCAAGAAAAACATGATTTTCATGCAGGACAATGCTCCATCACACGCGTCCAAGTACTCCACAGCGTGGCTGGCAAGAAAGGGTATAAAAGAAGGAAATCTAATGACATGGCCTCCTTGTTCACCTGATCTGAACCCCATTGAGAACCTGTGGTCCATCATCAAATGTGAGATTTACAAGGAGGGAAAACAGTACACCTCTCTGAACAGTGTCTGGGAGGCTGTGGTTGCTGCTGCACGCAATGTTGATGGTGAACAGATCAAAACACTGACAGAATCCATGGATGGCAGGCTTTTGAGTGTCCTTGCAAAGAAAGGTGGCTATATTGGTCACTGATTTGTTTTTGTTTTGTTTTTGAATGTCAGAAATGTATATTTGTGAATGTTGAGATGTTATATTGGTTTCACTGGTAATAATAAATAATTGAAATGGGTATATATTTGTTTTTTGTTAAGTTGCCTAATAATTATGCACAGTAATAGTCACCTGCACACACAGATATCCCCCTAACATAGCTAAAACTAAAAACAAACTAAAAACTACTTCCAAAAATATTCAGCTTTGATATTAATGAGTTTTTTGGGTTCATTGAGAACATGGTTGTTGTTCAATAATAAAATTAATCCTCAAAAATACAACTTGCCTAATAATTCTGCACTCCCTGTAGTGACACAGTAACAGGGGATTGAGGGCCTGCTCAGTGAGTTTACATGTTAGAGGGAGTGGGGTATAGTGACACAGTAACAGAGGGATTGAGGGCCTGCTCAGTGAGTTTACATGTTAGAGGGAGTGGGGTATAGTGACACAGTAACAGAGGGATTGAGGGCCCTGCTCAGTGAGTTTACATGTTAGAGGGAGTGGGGTATAGTGACACAGTAACAGAGGGATTGAGGGCCTGCTCAGTGAGTTTACATGTTAGAGGGAGTGGGGTATAGTGACACAGTAACAGAGGGATTGAGGGCCTGCTCAGTGAGTTTACATGTTAGAGGGAGTGGGGTATAGTGACACAGTAACAGAGGGATTGAGGGCCCTGCTCAGTGAGTTTACATGTTAGAGGGAGTGGGGTATAGTGACACAGTAACAGAGGGATTGAGGCCCTGCTCAGTGAGTTTACATGTTAGAGGGAGTGGGGTATAGTGACACAGTAACAGAGGGATTGAGGGCCTGCTCAGTGAGTTTACATGTTAGAGGGAGTGGGATATAGTGACAGTAACAGAGGGATTGAGGGCCTGCTCAGTGAGTTTACATGTTAGAGGGAGTGGGGTATAGTGACACAGTAACAGAGGGATTGAGGGCCTGCTCAGTGAGTTTACATGTTATAGGGAGTGGGGTATAGTGACCCAGTAACAGAGGGATTGAGGGCCCTGCTCAGTGAGTTTACATGTTAGAGGGAGTGGGGTATAGTGACACAGTAACAGAGGGATTGAGGGCCCTGCTCAGTGAGTTTACATGCTAGAGGGAGCGGGGTATAGTGACACAGTAACAGAGGGATTGAGGGGCCCTGCTCAGTGAGTTTACATGTTAGAGGGAGTGGGGTATAGTGACACAGTAACAGAGGGATTGAGGGCCTGCTCAGTGAGTTTACATGTTAGAGGGAGTGGGGTATAGCGACACAGTAACAGAGGGATTGAGGGCCCTGCTCAGTGAGTTTACATGTTAGAGGGAGTGGGGTATAGTGACACAGTAACAGAGGGATTGAGGGCCCTGCTCAGTGAGTTTACATGTTAGAGGGAGTGGGGTATAGTGACACAGTAACAGAGGGATTGAGGGCCCTGCTCAGTGAGTTTACATGTTAGAGGGAGTGGGGTATAGTGACACAGTAACAGAGGGATTGAGGGCCTGCTCAGTGAGTTTACATGTTAGAGGGAGTGGGGTATAGTGACACAGTAACAGAGGGATTGAGGGCCCTGCTCAGTGAGTTTACATGCTAGAGGGAGTGGGGTATAGTGACACAGTAACAGAGGGATTGTGGGCCTGCTCAGTGAGTTTACATGTTAGAGGGAGTGGGGTATAGTGACACAGTAACAGAGGGATTGAGGGCCTGCTCAGTGAGTTTACATGTTAGAGGGAGTGGGGTATAGTGACACAGTAACAGAGGGATTGAGGGCCTGCTCAGTGAGTTTACATGTTAGAGAGAGTGGGGTATAGTGACACAGTAACAGAGGGATTGAGGGCCTGCTCAGTGAGTTTACATGTTAGAGGGAGTGGGGTATAGTGACACAGTAACAGAGGGATTGAGGGCCCTGCTCAGTGAGTTTACATGTTAGAGGGAGTGGGGTATAGTGACACAGTAACAGAGGGATTGAGGGCCCTGCTCAGTGAGTTTACATGTTAGAGGGAGTGGGGTATAGTGACACAGTAACAGAGGGATTGAGGGTCCTGCTCAGTGAGTTTACATGTTAGAGGGAGTGGGGTATAGTGACACAGTAACAGAGGGATTGAGGGCCCTGCTCAGTGAGTTTACATGTTAGAGGGAGTGGGGTATAGTGACACAGTAACAGAGGGATTGAGGGCCCTGCTCAGTGAGTTTACATGTTAGAGGGAGTGGGGTATAGTGACACAGTAACAGAGGGATTGAGGGCCTGCTCAGTGAGTTTACATGTTAGAGGGAGTGGGGTATAGTGACAGTAACAGAGGGATTGAGGGCCCTGCTCAGTGAGTTTATATGTTAGAGGGAGTGGGGTATAGTGACACAGTAACAGAGGGATTGAGGGCCTGCTCAGTGAGTTTACATGTTAGAGGGGTGGGGTATAGTGACACAGTAACAGAGGGATTGAGGGCCTGCTCAGTGAGTTTACATGTTAGAGGGAGTGGGGTATAGTGACACAGTAACAGAGGGATTGAGGGCCCTGCTCAGTGAGTTTACATGTTAGAGGGAGTGGGGTATAGTGACACAGTAACAGAGGGATTGAGGGCATGCTCAGTGAGTTTACATGTTAGAGGGAGTGGGGTATAGTGACACAGTAACAGAGGGATTGAGGGCCTGCTCAGTGAGTTTACATGTTAGAGGGAGTGGGGTATAGTGACACAGTAACAGATGGATTGAGGGCCCTGCTCAGTGAGTTTACATGTTAGAGGGAGTGGGGTATAGTGACAGTAACAGAGGGATTGAGGGCCCTGCTCAGTGAGTTTACATGTTAGAGGGAGTGGGGTATAGTTACATAGTTACATAGCTGAAAAGAGACTTGCGTCCATTAAGTTCAGCCTTCCTCACATTTGTTTTTTGCTGTTGATCCAAAAGAAGGCAAAAAAAACCAGTTTGAAGCACTTCCAATTTTGCAACAAGCTAGGGAAAAAATTCCTTCTTGACCCCAGAATGGCAGTCAGATTTATCCTTGGATCAAGCAGTTATTACCCTACATTGAAAGATTATATCCTTGAATATTCTGTTCTTGCAAGTATGCATCTAGTAGCTGTTTGAACATCTGTGTGGGCTCTGATAAAACCACTTCTTCAGGCAGATAATTCCACATCCTGATTGTTCTTACAGTAAAAAAAACTTTTCTTTGCCTTAGATGAAATCTTCTTTCTTCCAGTCTTAACGCATGACCTTGTGTCCTATGTAAATTCCGGTTTGTGAATAGATTTCCACACAATGGTTTGTATTGGCCCCGAATATATTTGTATAATGTTATCATATCCCCTCTGAGGCAACATTTTTCTAAACTAAATAGGTTTAAATTTGTTAACCTTTCTTCATAGCTGATATGTTCCATTGATTTTATTAATTTTTGTTGCCTGCCTCTGCACTTTTTCTAGTGCCATAATATCCTTCTTTAGAACAGGTGCCCAAAATTGCACAGCATATAGTGACACAAAGGGTATAAGTAGTGGCATTATTTAGAAACCTATTCCATTCTCAAGCTCTAAAATACTCTACAGTTATAAATGTTATTATAAAACCACCAACATATTCAGCGGCGCTGTACTATGGTTATTTAACCAGATTGATATTGGGCCACAATTCATTATTTTCCATCCAACAGGAAAAGAAGTGATACATATATATAAATATGTTTTCTGTGTAATATTCCTCCAAGTGACCTCTTAATGAAGAGTTTAATATTTCAGAATGTTATTGAAATATATTTG